AACAGGCGGCGTCGTCTCGGGAATCGGCCCGAAATGTGCACCTAATTCCAAGCGCTGGAATAAATAATACATAATAAATTTTTAAATAAAAAGACAACTGCAAATTAATATGAAACGCAATTGCAAAAATACTTATGTGTGATATTATATTATATTATTGTATTCATCAACTTACCGATTGACGTAAGGATCTTTAGGATCAGGATATCTGCCAGTGGCTGGATATCGATCGATAGGAGCTCTGTCACCACTTAATCCCGTGGGATATCGATCCATCGGATCTTCGGGGTAAGGATACCTGTCGATCGCATTAGGGTATCGGTCATTGACGTCAGCAGGATATCGGCTTGGAGTAAACGGATATCGGACACCGTGTATTACAGGATATCGGCCGTTCGTAGGATATCTGTCTACGGTTCCGGTACTGGAAATAGGATATCTATCACTGCCGGCTGGATCTCGGTGACGATCCCCCCCTCTAACAGGGTATCGATCAGAAATTGGATAACGGTCTCCAACTGGATAACGATCTCCAGTGGGATAACGATCTCCCGCGGGATAACGATCTCCCACGGGATAACGATCTCCCGCGGGATAACGATCTCCCGCGGGATAACGATCTCCCGCGGGATAACGATCTCCCGCGGGATAACGATCTCCCGCGGGATAACGATCTTCCGTGGGATAACGATTTCCCGCGGGATAACGATCGCCGGCGGGGTATTTATCGTGATATCGATCGCCAGGAGGATACCGATCCGGATAATTGTCTGGGTAATTATCCGATTCGCCCAAAGGGTACATTCCAGGATATCTGGTATCCGGATATCTGTCGTCCATAGGCCGCCGATCGGGGTATCGATCTGGATAGCGGTCGGGATAGCGATCTGGATAACGGTCGGGATAACGGTCCGGAATACGGTCTGGAATGCGATCTGGGAAGCGATCGGGATAGCGATCCGGCTTGACGCTGTTGGGGTATCCTTTGTCGTAATCGTCCGGATAACCTAGAGATAATAGTTCTCGGATGAAGCGATTATCGTGTCGATATCAAAGTTTATCATTAATGCAATGCAATACTATACGTTTTTAAGCAATGTAAAAAAATTTCTTCTCTTAATAATTTTAACAAGTTTAATTTTTAGAAAGCTGTGAAACGTTATAACAACACAAAAGTACATGTTAAATATATACATTGTTTTTTAAGGCTCGATCTTTATTATTAAAGAAAAAAACCTACAGAAATTGATGAACATCATATTTTCAACATTTACATCGCGTTAAACGCGATTGTCTGATTTTTTATGATTCACATATAGAAGAAATAAAATTTAGGATTAGATGATCACTTTTAACGCTAAGCATGTGACCGTAATCAATATTATAATTAATTAATTTTGGCATTGAAACGAATACATTAGAATTACGAGGCGATGTTTAAAAATACCATCGCATCTGTTTACGAGATAAGAGTGTAATCCTGCTTTTGTATCGTTTCCGTGATCTTATATCATTATGATAATTCATGCGATTAGTCAGCAATTCTATTAATAATTGCGCGACTTTGCTGACGGCTCAGTGGTCGCGTTATTTTAAATTAATAAAATGTTTCTAACCAGGCCTTCCTAGAGAGGGTCGTCCAAAGTTTGTGTCCTGTCCCAAGGGATCCGGTCTGTAGCCAGGACCTTCGCGATCGCCGTCTAGATATTGATCTGTTGGCACGGTACGTCGTTAAATTAAACATTGAACATGGCACAAAGTTGCTGTCGCGCCTTCAGGAAAAAGAATCGCGAAAGGCGCAACGGCAGTGCGTCAGTGATACAAGTCAACGTATCAACCAACATAGTTTTTTTCATGAGAGTAAGACTATATATTGCTATACTTTCCCAAATTTCGCATGTAGTAAAACGAAGATAAACATATAAAAATTATTTCCTATCGCGTATTTCGGATTAATATTAAAAAGAACCTCGATTAATTATAAAAATCAATATATGAGAGAAAATGTGCTGAACAAAGAAATTAGTATTATACGATTCTCTTCAGTGTACGAAAGTTCTATCTAAATTTCAAAGTTTACCGTTCATCATCTTCTTCATATATTTTCGTAGCAACAATTAGCTAATTTTCTTTTCTAAAGTACATACAATACGTAGAAAACAAAATAGTTGTGACGACAATGATACGGTATTCAGGACGCGTTTGCTGCGCGACGTTTTTAGACAGACATCCGGAGTGGATGGACAAGCGGTCGATACTCACGCATGAGATTCTCGTAATAATCATAATCAGCGTCGTAGATAATCCTGTGGCCGTCCCGCTGATTGAATCGACTCAATCGGCAGATATTATAATGTTCGGAGTAGACGGCGCTGCGGCACTGAAAGCTCGTCTGCCGGAGACAGTCGTCCAGGCACTCGCTTAGGCTGCGCCCGGTGATCTCCGAGTGAAAATCGCCGCTCAGACGTGAAGTACGATAACGCTGGAAAGCCGTGTCCGGTCGCCGGCCGTCGGAGAACAGGTGCGACGTCGAGCCGCTGCTGTCCGGATATTCCGAGCCGCGCGCTACGGACGGATCTACGCTTCGTAAATGGGCATTGATAACGAGTTGTGAGTCACCAACCGACCATTGTCAATTAGATCTTGCACCCCGTTAGTAGTACGTAGTATGAGCAGTACGGAGTAGCAATGGAATCTCTTCTGAATTCCAATCACTGAACTCTCAAATTAATACTGTGAATAATTTCTGTACAATGATTATGCAGTAATTTTAGTGGAATTATATGTATATTCCATGAAATTCCTCATTTTAATTGTTTACACCAGAACCAAATTGTTAGTAAAGTTGTAAATTAATTAATGAATTAGTGAAATTATAAAAACTTAACAATGATTAAAATTCAGCGACAATTAAAATTGCAACAGAATTATATAAAATGTAAAATCTTAGTAAAAGCTTAGCTTTTCGTAACACGACAATTAGTTTAATAATTAGCTTGATTCGATTAGGTAATGCTGTTAAAATAATTTTGTTTGCGATGTCTGTCAGAATATTAACATGATAAATTTTCATAGATTAAGATGGAAGCGGAGATAGAGCGAGCATAAAAATGTTGCGCATACTCACGATTATCTAGGCAAACTAAATCGTAGAAGTGGTGAGTGGGACTACTGCTGATTCCAATATCGTCCTTTTGCGAAACAGAATCCTCTTCGGATATGACACATTGTCGAGTTTGCTCGTCAAACTCGACGCTGCGACAGAAGTACTTTTCCGCTCTGAGGCATAGCGCTTGACATTCGTCCAAAGTTAGATTCGTGTATATATCCACTTCGAACGGGCCGCGTAAACGTTTGTTTTCCTCCTTGACGAACACCATGAGCCCATCGCATCGTCGTTCGGCTGATTAAAGAGAAATATTTCTTGTAATTTTCACGCAATTGTGAAATTAATATATAAAAATATATTTAACGTCCATTTTCGCGATTTCCGATTATTACAAGAACATTTTTCACGCAAGCAAAAGTAATAAATATTTGATGCAACAATGTTTGAAAATGTACCATTGAGGCAGGTATTTTCCAAATAATCAGAGTTTGGATCGTCCTCTAGTAATTCGGGATGCGTTCTTCTGGTAAAACGACTGAGAGAACAGCTTCTCAGGGCGGTGTCGTATGTCGCCGATCGGCAGACGAAACTGTACTCGTTCAGACACCTGACAAAAAAAATGGAAAAATGTTATTTCCTTCATACGTTTAATTTTTAATCTCTGTATAACATACCTGTCTTCGCAGTCGGTTCTGTTAGCCGCGCTGACTTCTTTAATGTCTGTTAGGGATAACTTCAACTTCTTTCTCGGATGCCTCTCAAACACGTAGCGACGATTTGCACATTCCCTTTCTATTCTGTTAGCTGAGAACACGAGACGTTTATTGAAACAATTTTTAGCACAACAAAGTCTGATCAAAAAGAAAATAAAGAGACGAGTAACGATTGAAAATTTTACAATGGCGCAAATAAATATTTTTCGACATTTTTCGAAACAATTGTTCGGTTCGCAAATTCCATTAAGTTCGGTGGAAAAAAAATGATTTTTTACAACGGGTTTACGAACGCGGCTGGCACTTCAATTAATACGGCGCGCACGTACAGGTACTTTTTTTCCCTATCCGCGCGGAATACTCACACGCCAGGCACACTTCAGCGAAGTGCACGCTATTCGGGACGAGTATAAGATTTCCGATGCCCTCCGGCGTCGCCTGTTCCCTCGTTAAATAGCAAGTACTCTCTTCGTACTCGGCGGCGCCGCTGAAGGACGCAATTCTGTTGCCGGGTTGAAAGTCAAAGCTCGTGCACGCGCGGACCAGATTGTTCGTCGCTCTGTCGTACAGACACAGCTCTTGACACTTTTCCAGAACCCTAAACGGAGGTGCCGAGTCTCGCACCTGTCGTAAATCGGAATTCTTTAATCGGCAAATACGTCTTTTCTATTTTAGAATAAAAGACGTCGACGCAACCAACTTTGTGTCACGCTAGCTTTTGCTCACATAATAATTATATGAAAATTTAAATTTAAGAGACATTTTAATTCGTTACCGCACAAAAAATGCGCAGATAAAGACATCGTAATATTAGAAATAATAATTTTCATTTATAATATTAAAAAATTAATAATTTCTTAGGAATAAAACATTATGTTATAAAATCTTTTACTGACGACAAGTTGGAAATTAGAAAAGCACAATAATTAAAAATATTTTCGATATCTATTAGATATTCTTGAAATGATCGCTTACCATTTCTTCGTCGAAACCCTGAAGCTGTTGATCTGGAAGTCTTTCGTAAACCACCCTACCTTGGCCGCCATTGCAGCTCGTCGTTTGTGCTGAAACTATAATGATTCTCTCGTTAGCGCTCGTTTGTCGGTCAACGCACGACAGATCGTTGCTGATTTTATTATTTATACTCGCGCGATGAACGGATTATTATTTCCTTTTCACATAAAATTTAGGCTACTTCCTCTAGTCGGCAAATGCGAACGCGCGTGCTTCGATTTTATCAACGCGATATTTTCACGCCGTAAGTGGCACGGATAGCCGCACAATACCCGCAATTTCGCAAGTACAATGTGACATCATTCCACTTGTATTCTTCGACGTGTGTTTGTTCACATGTTTGCAGAATTATTTAACTGCATGAACTCAAAACGCATTTTTAAAACAATATAATCGCTTTTTGCTGAAATGGAAAATCTGGATTTTTTAGCAAAAATTATGATTTGAAGCCAAAAGCTGTTAACTTAGAGAGTAATAAATATTAATATATTTATTACTCTCTGTGTTTCATCATAATATGTTTAATTATATATTTATATATCGACATTGAATGCCGAATGAATTTTACATATCTATCTCGATACATCGCAAATTTACAACACATATTGTTCAATTACTAAAAAAATTAAATTCTTCAAACGCTTATCAGTGCATTTATTATTATATATTACTATTATGATATAAATAATATCAAAAAATTTTAAACTATTATTATTATTTGTTAAAATCGTTGCAATTAATTTAGATAATGCCGATCTTCGATGACATGGCATTCAACATGGCATTTAACATGTTAAGAATAAAAATTGTAATCAGATAATTTAATTTTTTTGTGTTTCTTTAAATATTAAACATTGTAAAATAACTTATAAACTTACCATTGGCTAGAAAACTAAACACTATTAATGGCCAGAGGGCTGGTAGCATACTAATAAATCTGTTAGGTCTCCACATCGCGATTTTCAAACGTGCAGATCACTATGTCATATACATGTCAACTGCTACCAAGATCTGTAAAAGAGAGATATTAAATTTTTAATATGTAAAAGGATAATTTTTTTGCGCTTTAAAAGAACATTATTATCATTTTCCGCGGCTCTAATTTTTTTTTTATCGTAACGTTATTAAATTTGTAGCGTTAAAATGATATTAAATTATTTCTTATTATTTTCCGCGTAATTTCGCGAAGTAGAAATTGAGAACAATCGGGCAAGAATGCACATCCCGCTTCGGAAAGAGCCGAGAAATTTAATTTATATGAGGAAGGAAATGCTCTTTTAAGAAGTAGTTTTGTATTGAAATTTAAAAATGCAAGAGATCTCGGAATTATTTACATGATGGACTACCTATTCGGAAAACTACCTATTCTCCACGGATATTTTTCTTTTCGCGCGAAATAAAGTCAGGAGAGAAATATTGAAACTTTTATACATTGAAGACGTACCTTTTCTAAAATCACATACGCGATATACAATTTATTTCTCTTTATTAATAAAAGTTGAATAATTTTTATACTAACTAAATTGATTGAAATAATGATATCTTTGTTTTCCGCGAGTGGTATAAATACATGTCGCTAGTAATTTTGCATGGCTGTGACAAATCGTCTGCATAGAAAAAAAAAGCGGATAGAGTAATTTCGGCAGCTGTTTCGAAATCGTTCGGATATTTCTTTTGAATTTCCCCGCGGGATGGGCACAATAAATACATACACGTTCTTGTCTGTCACGTGAAAGAAAAAAATGTTACGTGAAAAATCGGAATAAAAATAACGTTGCGCGGGAACCATTTGTTCTGGTCGGCGGACAGTTACCGTGTGTATGTGGGCGAGATACGTGGGGACAGTGTGCGCCAGAGTTTATGGGATTCCTGACGAGCGCTCACCCTGAACAATTCCACACACTCGCACCCTCGTTGCACGTACGCGGCTGCCAAAGGACCAGCACACACACACACACACACACACACGCCCGTAAGGGCAACGAAGCGTGGTTCCAACTTTCAGGCATTACATTATTAGCTGGCTGTCATTATCTATCCGGTTATCGTGACCGAGGTAGGAGAGCGCGAGTTCAATCATCGGAAACGAAAGAACAAGCGGAATCATCTTTGCACCGCGATGATTTTTATCAGCCGTGGGAAGCGAAATGCAGCATTGATTCTGATGCGGTGCGAGTTAGAATAATCTGTTCTCAGGAAACGCAAGCAAACAGTAACGTAACGTTAATGTTATGTTACTTTGTGTTTACCGGGTTATCTTTGAATCTGTTATTTTTAAGAAAAAAAAAAAGAGATTTTTTTACAACAGCATTTTAACATTAATGTTAGTATAGATATGTTACGGTGACGCGAAAGTAAACTGTGGAACAGCCGTAAAGTATATCTATTTAATTGTAAGATAAAGAGTTTGCACAGTACAAATTTATAATACGGACATTAACACATTCGCGATTGTTTCCGTGCGAGACCTTCGCGAGAGACTCGGCAGAGTTGTCTACGGCGATAGGATGTTTATGATATCGACAACTCATCGTAAAGAGGATTTTATTATCAGAGTAATTTATGTTTACTCGTCGATGCACGAGAACGTACTTGCTGTTCGTGACGAGTGCCAATTACTGTGGCCACGGCACGTCCACCGATTGTGTCCCATCGATGTCCGCCGTGCAGCGACACCGCTTATTAATCGCGTTATGGTTTATCGCCCCGGTAATTGCGTCTGTCACCGGCAACGTGGTATAAAAGCTTATTCTGATGTTAATATCATCGGTCGGGGGAGAAAATTATGGCACCCGCCATTCGTTATAAATTCGCGGAATATTACGCCGTGCAGAAATTACATTTCTGTAATTGTCCCCGCCGGATCGCCGGATTTATGACGTGCCGCACGTCGTATGCAAATTGTTTCGGGAAATTACTCGGATTAAGGTAATTAAACATGCCGTTAGACAACGAGACACGAGTGTGTTCCGCCGATCGAAAACTCTGCTGGCAAACGTGAGGAGTTCTCCCGACGAGGAATTAAAAATGGAATGAATACGAGAGTATGAAATTAACCGGTCGCTTGATTTATCCATTATCGCGCTCGAACATTCGGAAAAAGCGATTGGCGAATAAACGTTTTCAATTTTAGCTTGTGTATATAATCGATGTGGTTTTAAATATATAAAAACGCAATACACGCTTTCGATGCTGTACAAGTATTTTCAATTTTTCTCGGACTCGTTTTACACGTATAAAATTCATAACGATAAAGTTTGTAATAATTTTGAACATAAAGCAGCTTTGAACATTGATAAAATTGACACAATTTAGAATGATAAAGTATGTAAAGCTCTCAGAATATCAAATAGCGATTAAATAACTGTTCTTAAATTTTAATACCCTCGTAAATGAGTCATGACAATGATGTAAATTTGTAAATCTGATTTGCATTTGTCACAAGTGAAAACTACTAATTTTATCGGCAAACAAACATAGAAATGCTATTTAGATAAACGCGAAACAGTTCGCTGATTCGTCCAGGACGCAATTTCCAATTCTCTTCCGGCTTTGGAAAGCACCAGCTTTTTGAAAGCTTACTTTCTACGGCAGCTTTATTGTGAGCTTCCACTACAGGCGCTATTGTCGTGGTGCTTTGAACTCTGTTAGTACGCGGACGGCATTGTTGCGTGCGTACCCGTGTCGAACACCGGGAATGAATTCGGTCATTGTTGTGTGACGTTGATGTTAATGGAACGTTCGCACGCAACGACAAATTATTATCTGGTAATGCGCCACGCTAATTCCGCCAAATTAAATTCGAGCGCGAGGCGAGGCGGGGAAACGTCGGCAATGTTTGCAAATTGTTTGAGTGCGCGGGTGATATTTTTGCGAATCGGCATTCGCAGCGAAGTGGCATTGAAAATTATTATAGAGCGCAATTCAATACGATTGTATGTAAAGATTGCGGAAAGCAGCTCCGCCGCTGCACTCATATCTTTTGATTACGTAAACGATCTTGCGAGTAATTATTGTAATTACGGCAATGCGGACGAGCGTATGAAGCATTTTAAGCGCGTTAATTGCCACGCAATGCGTCATTGGAATAATTAATTAAGATCTCGAGTCGTTGCAATCATGCAAACAGTTATATTATTCTTACTTTTTTATAGATACATTTGTATAAAAAATTTGTACATGTGAAAATGTTTTTTTCCTTTGCATTGTGCTTTTTTGTTGCGTGCTAATGGAAACTGCTCATCACATGTTTAAATCCGTAATAAGCATATGTATAAAACTTTAAATTTTTTAAAGTAATTTACTGATTTAATATATTATTTTTTGAAGAAAGTTGACGATAAGAAAAACAGAGAGAGAGAGAAATTATACATGAATATAAATTTAATCTTATGGTCGCGTGGTGCAGTCTTTGCTATTTCTCTAATCATACTACTTTCTTGAAAAAAAGCTGCAAAATTATAATCGGACAAAGTTAATTTCGCTTTGCTTGAATGTAATCATAATTTTGCAGTTTTTCTTTTCAAAAAATAGTACAATTAGAAATAATGGAGATTGCATCACACGCTCATAAAATCAAATTTATTATATTTATTTACAACTCTCTCTCTCTCTCTCTCGTTTTTCTTGTCAGCATCTTCGATCATAATAATCGAAATATTTTACTTCGATCGATTCGGATACCAAGATCGTTGTTCGTGCAAAAAAAGATTTATCGGTGAAGAAAGAAATTCTTACCTGGGAGATAATTCGCCTCAAGCTTTCTTCCTTCCGAGTTATCGTCCTCTTCAGCGTGGCTGTTGAACAGAAGCCGGTCCTATCCCAGTGTTATACCCAGCCGCGATCCTGACGTTGCTCCTCGTGCGTCCCCGATCGCGCGAAAGAGAGGCGTGCACCAAAGTCACGCGTGCGGCGCGAGCGGCACCCGTAATCAAACTGACGGTCAAAATCGGCGGAAAGCGCGGAAATAATAGGCGGACACCTGTGCAACGCATCGGGGAGGTGGGAAGAGACAGACAGAAAGAGCAAATCACGGATTCCTGATGAATGGTCAGCGCGGACGGGTACGCGCGCAGGCTGTAGGGGGCCGGAGAGCGCGGATAACGCTGCTGCCGCGGGGCAGGTGGGGCCCCCCACGTCCGACTTCTGGCCTTGCGCGCGCCGGAAGTGGACCCATTGTGTGTCCGGTTTCCGTGGGGCCATCCGGGAAAACGGGCGACGCGTGGTCGCGTCGCGCCGAGGGGCCCTCGAGCATTGCGCGAGCGAGGCAGAGAGCCCAGCGGCGTGCGTTCGGCGCTCTCGTCACCGTGGCGGAATCATGGATTAGAGACTCCCGGCCGAGGTCAACCAGGACGAGATCGCGTCGTCATCGTCGACGGGAGGCAGTCAGCCGCTCAACGATCGACAGGATAAAGCGTACAGGGCGACTATAGGTATTCTAATACGTGTGGGGTCCGTAACCTTCTGCACGCCACATCATCACGTTGGCATCGAAAATTATCTTCTTCATGTGAGAGAACCGTTTTACAAATACTATCAACTTATTTCGATCTGCAATCATTTAACGTATGAGCGCACATTTGATGGTCCTGATATGATAAATTAACAAAGAAATACAATAGCAATGAAAAAATTTAGGTACATTGCGAAACGCAAGTGCATTTTGTCACAATTGTCTTAACGTTGAAAATTATTTCCAAACATATTGAGGATATATATTTTTTAGAAAGATTTTTCTAAGAATTATTATATTATTGCATATGTACAATACAGTGCTTAAATTTATTTTAATGAATTATATCAAATTTATGTGACTTCTCGAATCTTTTTTTTTTTACTCGAAATATAAGAATTGTAAATACAAGTGTTGTATTTGAAAATTAGATACAAACTATAAACGCACATATAAAATTAAAATAAATGCGAAGTAGAATATAAAATTCTCCGTAGCAGCACTTTGTGTCAGTCTTTTATAAATTATGGCACTAAATAATCTTTCTTCTACATTTTTGCGAAACGTCTTTTCTTACGTCTTGAAAGAGCATTATACTTAAGAAATATCTTTTTCTCTTGGGACAGTAAACAATGATGCTTTCGTAGAGTCTAAAATATAGAGAGACGTTGAAAAATAAAGGGACGTAATCAATCTTAAAGTGTCTGATAATAGGTACGTTTTTTCGTCATATTCCTTTATTTTCAGTAACGGTGGTAGAATTATTTGCAGAAAGTTTTAGACATCCCAACTGCTTCGAATAAATAAATGATAAATCAATTATCATAAATTTGTTCCGTCGATGCCTGATATTTCCTAGATTTCTTTCTTCTTTCAATAATCCATCGATAGCTGCTTTTTCACTTTTGCAAAAATATGACGCTCGCGTGATATTTTGCATGGCATTCCCGATATTAACTTTTATGCATTTCTGACTCGTACTTTGTCACATCGTGATCAAGATTTAACTCGAAAAAGCACGGTTGTACGAAGCCACGATCTATTCGACATTCCGAAGCAAGTAATGGTAACAAAAGGAAATAAAAAAATTGCGCAGTCAATTTCGCGCGGCGTCCGCCGCAGTTATGCTACATCTAAACTACTTTTGTAAATCCTTTCTCACAGATGAAGAATAGTACACATTAGCATTTTGAGACGATTAGAGTATTTTACCATGTCATATTATAATGTTTAAATAGGAAAAAATATACGTTAAAACTAAGTATTTGTGAAATGAAAGATATGATTTATTAATAACAGTATAGCTCATTAATAACATGAAATATATATTGACAATTATTAGAAAATAATTTTAGTATTTATCACAATTATGAATTGAAGGAAGTTAATTGTGCAATAACGCCTTATTTTCATGTTAACTCACGGTGCTAGTACTTTATTGTGATCTACAATGCGTACGTTTGCTGTTGTTAGCGCGCTATCACCTTGCCATTGTTTATACGGCGACACGCAAGCAACTCAGACAAGCATCGTTTCGCGTTGCATTGAAATGCAAATTGCGATAAGAGTACAGATATTATTTACAAATAATCACCCATTGATGTCTCGCGTTATTAATCAATTACGGTTAATGATTCGTATATTTTACTTCGCGAATCTTTGACTTTATAATTTGTATATTTATTATTATATAAATATTATAATAGTAAAACAATCTAATCTTGAAAGACGTGTACTATTTTTTATCTTTAAAAAATAGAGAAAAGTAGTTTAAACGTAGCGTAACTGCGGCAGGTTGCACGAAAAATTAATTGCGCAATTTTTTATTTTTCTCCGTTACTACTGCCTGTTTCGTAGTGTCGAATAGATTGTAACTCTGTAGGAATCGTGCTTTTTCGATGACTTATATGATCTTGTCATGATGTGACAAAGTGCGGGTCGGAAATGCGCGGAAGTTAATGTTCGGAATGCTGTATAAAATATAGCGCAATCGTATTTTCGCAAGTGAACGTTACGAAGGAAAATCGATGGACTACTTAGAAGAAGGAGAACCAAGGAGCATCGGGCATCGATGAAGCAACTTTAAAGTAGTAAGTAACTTATCTTTTATTTATTATTTGTAGCACTCGTGGAAATTTCAAATAGATTCGAATAGTTTGGACACTTTGGATCGTATAAACTTCGGATCATAATAAATATGCACTGCCAATCAAAAGTTTTCAGACAAAGAATATATTGTACGTAGTTGAATTTATTACTTGATACTTTGTAATTTTCTTCAATCCAGATAACCACACTTAAAATAAACATTTTCAAGAATGATATATTGACATATATCCTCCTCATTTACTAAAAAAATACGGAAAAAATACTTATTGTCCAAAATCTTTTGACTGACAGTGTATAATAAATATGTAGTTATTTATATAATTTAATAACATTTAATCTGTTGATTTATTTAATTAATCATAAGATGTTTTAAATGTTATTAAATTATTTAATATTATAAAGAATTAATTTTGTTCAATCTTTCTTATTCTCTCAATCATTCTTAAATTCTCCTATTCTTTTTCTCAATTTCGTTCATTCTTTTCTATAATCTTTTATAATTTATTTCAATTAAATATTTTGATCGCACTGAAAAATCGTAGATATGTTATAAATGAAAAAAACACGATTGTGTTTTTGATATTTAAGAAAAGATATAAATGTGTTTTATAATTATAATAAAAAAAGATATAAATGTGTTTTATATTATAATAAAAATGTCTCATAAATTAAATAAACAAGCTGGAAAAAACAAGTCGACATTTTCAATACCATTGCGATATTTTGCTCAATTTAAATTAAACATTTAACATATACGAGTAGAAATTAAATGGAAAACGATGTTACAGCATTTGAAAATTGCCGCGCTTGACCACGTGGTCGCGACGATCGCCCATATGCCTGCTCCTAGTGCCAGCTCCAGATACTCTACGTACGCGAGGAAAGCTGTCAAGTGCTCGATAATCGCGATAGTATTTTGTAAGTCAGCTGACGCCGTGAAGATGCATTTGTCCGCTGTTCGCAAACTGTAACGCGAATCGCTTGTAATCGCGCGAAGATTGCAGCATCGCCTTCATCGAGGGAAAGGAAGCGCACGTTCCCTCTTCGTAATCTACGAACCGAGGTGAGAACTGGAACGCGCCGAAGATAATCCCAGCTCCTCTCCGTCACGCAGCCTCATATTGATTTGCGATACGCGATACGACGATGTACTTACGCTTAATAACAATTAATCGCCTGTCAAAGCGATAATTCTCAAGGACGTTCATTGCAGAATCAATAATTCTTGTCTAGAATTGCGAACGTTCCGCCGTTTCGAGGTTAAGAAAATATGACGTTTGCGTGGCAGGACGAGTTTGACGTGTAATCTGATTGTTGTCGCATATACTCACGAAATATCGTGTTTTTCGTGTTTCAGTTGAGTGTGCGAAAGATTTGTGTACCCTTGAGAGCAGAGGAAACCACGATGCCGCTCAGTGCAGGTAAATGCAAATGCAACATTACTGTCTGTGCTCATTCAGATTACTATATGCATTAAGTGTGAAAAATTTCAACAAATTATTCGTAGTAACGTTGAGATATAATAAAACAATGTGTGATATAATAAATTAGCAGAATGAATAATTTGCACAAGTGACAATATAGAAGATGTATGTTGAGAAACTATTGCGGAGCAGAGTTTAGAGATCTAAAAGGATAAAAAAATAAACAACTTATACTTACTTCGTTACATTGATTTTATTGATAAACTGATAACTCTATCGTGTTGTATCTTTGTCACAGATATATCTACAGCGCTCCGCTTGCTGGAGACTGTGCAGGAACGTGTGGAGACCTGCGACGACCCCAAGCTGCAAATGCACACGACTCAGGATTTGAAGTCGTTGATTTCGCTGCTGGAGGATCCGGTGTTCCGCAGCATAGTCACGCTTCAGGATTCCCTGATCGAACTGAATGCTCACCTGACACAACACCCGTCTACCCTGCCTGGCGACTTTGACATTAGCGTGAGCGGGAAGCTGGAGTTTTCCCCTCCGAGTCCGCCAGTGCAGCCGCTCGAATTAAATATGTATCAGGATCTGTATCAGGATAGCAGCGAGCTGGAAGACCAAAGAGTCCCCGTTGCTCCGTTACTGCACAGCAGCAGCGAGGACACGAGCGCACAGGCAATTACTCACTCAATCATCAATCTTGGAAATCAAGTGTGTATTTTTGACGCATCGTGAGACATCTTGCTACTTTGTTGCAGGTTACTAGTCCCAGTCTTGTTTCGGAAGTTATGGGAATGCCGCCTATAACCACTCCTACTTACGCGAAAGAATTTAAAAAAGTTATTGAGGCCGCAGCGAAAGGACGACAAGTATTCACAGTGCAGGTGAATGCTTATATTCTTCATAAAATATTTTTCGGCGAGATATTATGATATTGTCAAGAAAAATCACGTTTTAAGGATCCTGCTGATCGAGACAATTTTGTATCTTTTTAGTTGTACAAGCCGGAAGGAACCAGCTTGGGATTTAGTGTGGTTGGACTTCGAGACAAGGATAAAGGCGAGCTTGGCATATTCTTGCAAGAGATACAACCGAAAGGTATCGCCGGCAGGTGAGTCGAACATTTCATTCTTTTATCAACTTTGCCGCCGCATGCTTTTGACATATAAATGGATCCATAAATTTGACGCTATATGTCGACAATGAAATATAAAACTCGCTATTATTTTGGCGAAAGTAGATTTTTCGCAGATTTTTCTTTACAAAGAAATGGAACGAATTGAAGCTTAATCGGCATTTTTACTTTAATGGCCTTAGGCATTCGAATATAAAAGTTTCGAGTTCTGATATATATATCTCGCTAGATAGCAATTTTAGACGCAATCAGATAAGTCCCGCCAAACGTCGAAAGGCATTTGATAGCCGTCAGGAAAAAAGGGGTAGCACCGCGATAAAGGTAGAGCTTGAAGCGGGAAATATGATGACCCGTGAGCGCGCGATGTATCAGGTGATCCAATAACTTGGCTTTACCGCAGTGCGGTTGAACCGACATTTTGCAGTTGAACCAAACGCGAATTCCGCTCTTCTTTAATTCCGAGAGCATATTCGGTCATCGCGTGAAACATTTTAAGATCTCTGCGTTGGATCTCGCGTTTAATTTCAGGCAGCGAGACCGATCGGAAATATCAATTAAAACCTTTCGTCGCTGCAACGCTGCGAGGCTCACTTATGAATCTCCGCGGAAATTTCTCATTAATGCAGGGATCCACCGTCGAAATGCGATTTCCTTTTAGCTCCGTGAGAGCGAAACGCGATTCCCTGATTGCTTTCGGTGAGAACGGAGCAGAGGGCTTGTATCAAAGCTCGGTGAGCTTAATCTACATCGTCGTCATAAACCGCATATTCAGTACGCGAGAGGAGGAACGCGTTGGGAGTCATCGCGCACACACGGGCTCGCTGAAAGCTCGACCGCAAAGCTATCGTTTCCGGATCACGCGTTTCCCTACCTACCCGGCACACCCTGTACACGACGACGGGTGCTGCGGTCTGCCGATCGTGTGCCATCCGTCACACGCATGCCCGTTACCCTCCATCCGGAAGCTTCGCCGCCGCCGCCGCCGCCGCCGCCACCGCCGCCGTTCGAGAAAACGCTCTTTGAAAAAGAGCACTCCCACCCCGCGACCGACCAGTCTTCGACGAACCTTCGTCGGCCGAAGGTCGCGGGGCGGATTCCTGCGCGCTCTTATCACGCGGCGGACACGCACCTTGCTCGGGCGCGCGCGCACCGACGCACGCAATCCGCCCGTCGCGCACGTACGTGCGCGAGTAATGTGCCGCGCGCGAGTGTGCATTTTCTCCCTTTCGATCCGCCTGCCGTGCGTCCGATTCGCGCAGTGCGATTAATCGCCGCGCGCGCGTTTTCCCCTCGCCGATGCGCGAACGGAGCGCACTCGCCGCCGGAAGCGCTCCGCCGAGTTGTTCGTCCGTCGGAAACGCTAGCCGCCACCCCCGATTAATCTCCGCGCGGAAAGGGGGGTGGAATACACGCGTGCCGGGATCACGTTTCCTCGACGACGATCGTCGTCATGCGAGGCCCGCGCTCGGCGCGGCGCTCCTTCACGCGATGCGCTCGTTAATCTCGCGCGGCTCCCTCGCGAAGGGCGATCTCGTCGCGGGCTGATTGCTTACGCGCGAACGGTGAGTGAGAAACAATGGAACAATGCCGACGTCGTTCTGCGAAGTCTCACGTGGTGCGTGCCGTCCTCCGTAAGAAGCATCCGCGATCTGCTTTTCTCATAAATATCCATGTTGCACGAGGTTTGTAGGATCACTTTGCAGATTATCTTTCGCACGCGCGATGCGCGCGATGTTCCACGTTAAAACGCCACGTTTCAATAATTCGCGGACGAGATAAACAGAGTCGCGGAGCGCGACGACGGATCCCACCGTCGGCGGCCAACGCGTCGGGAAGATATATACGCGCACGTTTTCCGGTTACATAATGTTATTCGATGATCGAGCGCGAAGGAAGTCGCAGCGAAGTGCCGCGGTCAATCCGCTGCAATTGGCACGATGAATCGCGCGGGCGTGAGCGTGTTTACGTTCCCTCGGGGCGCGAATGATTCGTTCGGCTTTTTCCACGTCATCCTTTTCGCGCTGTTCGCGCGCGAGAATCGGGGAGGAAAGGGGAATCGAGTAGTATGCTAACGAACGGTGGCGCAAAATTGCGTTTTTATCGACTCGCGGCTCTCCGCTACGGCGAAGCGACGGCGGCAGCGGCGGCACTCGTGGCCCCGCTACACGCCTCATGAGGCGAAACTGGGTTAGATCGTCGAGGCCGAGGGAGTAGGCCTCATCGATCCCGGATTTGAATTCAACGTTGAAATTATTCTAGCCCCCCGCGATGCGCGGATTATTCATGCCCCGGGACCTTTCGCGCGCCGCCGTTACGACGCCGCCGATGTAACGCTCGCGCGAAATTAACCGCCGACGTACGGCGAGAGAAGCGGCGCGAGCGAAAATTTGTCGCGCGCGTGCGGCTAAATTTATCGCCGTCAACGCCACCGCGGGATACACGTGATCGGGCCACGCCGTTCGTAATCCATCCCGGCGATATCACTCCCGCGTATGCATGAATAATGAACAGTATCGAGGATGAGACAGAGGGGGGACCCGCTGTTTATTAGACCCGTCGCGCTCTCAACGGCTTCATTGTTAATATTTTGTCGACGGAGTTTAATCGCGGCGTTTTATGTCAGTTGTTGTTTACTTTGTTATTTTTGGCTCTGACCGACGATAACATTTTTTATTCTTTTTTATGATGATTGTTATTACTCCTCTCAATTTCGGCTCCACACTCGTTTTATCCTTTCGATAAATGTTTGCAGTTGTTTCAATTCCTTTTTTTTTTTTTTATGAGACTTATTCCGAAATGTGGAAAGTTTTTTATCTATTTGTTATATTTTTTGAAATATTGTGTAACGAATACAACGGTTGCGAATGTATGAACTACAGACCGTAAGTAATTTGTTGTCGAATCGATGGTTGTGGCCTATATAAAGCAAGCGTTATACCACTTTTGACGTCGCGCTAAAATAACGTTGTAAAGGAAAAAAAAATCAGGCTAGAAAAATTCACAAAGTAGCTTAATTGAAAGCTGATGGTAATATGAAACTTCCATGGCTGATAAATTAAATATTAAATAAATTCCTTGCGTCGCGTGCGTTAAAGCTTACTTTTCATAAGCCCTTCGTACCATAAGTAAAGGATTATAATTTATAATTTATCGAATATATAATGAAAACGAGAGAGAGAGAGAGAGGAGGCTTTTATAAATGGTTTCAGCGATTGAGTGTCAATAATTAAGTTTCGCGAATTATCGTTTTAATCGAAATTCAAATTCTAATTATCATAAATATTATTTTTTTCCAATTAAACTTTTCACCTTACATTTGCACATTCGATTCGCTCGGCGGTCTCACATTTGTGCGTTTAAGATTTTATTGCGAAGTTCGCATTGATTTGTCGTGTCGCGGCGCATGTTGGCCCACAGTATTCCAAAGTTTTTTTTTTTCTGGTGGGCGAGTGCAATTTATCTCCCGAATTTTTATGCGGTCAACGGTCATACGGCTAAAATCGAAAGCTCGTCGGTTGTACTACCGACGCGCGCACGTTCGACGAAATGTGCAGCATTATAAGCGCGGCTCTCGAAAAAGCTCGACGCGGTTAATGCATCGCCGCGTTATGCGCGTTACCCAGCGTTCGTTTTTTTTTTCCCCCCGCAACAATATATAACAATTTCAAGTGTATTCACTGAAGTGTCGTAAAAAACAGCGATAATAAACGGCGGTTTTATTACGCGTCGGATTTGTTTGCAGGATAAACTTTATTCGATGGAGATTATTATTAGCGCACACTTTTCTACGTCTGTATAAAGTGCAATATAATTTGATTTCTTCGAAAACTTCTCTTTACGTACACGTATGCAGACGCCCGGGAATACCTTAACATAAATTGCATGAGTTTTTAACAACTCGCAGTGTGCGTATCGCGTTTAGATATTCATGCGTTAATAAATTATACTTTTATTGATTAATTCACTTATCGTATGAGCTGTGTTACTAATGCATGTTTAATGTTTCGCACATATCAAGCGTTTAAAGTGCCAAACTGTCAGGCACAGTTTTGAGTTATGATGTACGAATATCTAAATATGATGCACGCACGCCCCAAATTGCCCAAAATTGTTGAAACTTTATGCGTTAACACTGGAAGTGCTAGATGGATAGAGTACAGAAATCGAATAATCTCTCTCGCTAGTAGATACTTTTTAGCAAATGAAACAGAATGGAGAATAAAGAAGTTAGGACTTGAAATATCGAAAAGAAAAAAGATTATATAACACAGGTATAATTCGTGATAAATAACCTGATTAAAAAATACATGATATTTAATTATTGATAAAGAATTGAAGACTTCAAATGCTAAAAATCAAGAAATTATATAATATTTAATGTACGGGGTAAAGAATCCAAGATTTAAAATATTAAAAATCAGAAAGTTACATAACATTACGATTTATGTAATTGACAATCTCTTATGTACAGAGCGGATAAAATTAGAAAAGGTCAAACGACCACTTTTTTACGCTTACTTCAATGCTAAGGCATTTCTGATTGTCGATGTATATAATACAAAAGCTTGTAGAAGAATTTAGCTGAGAACCAAATGTTGAAAACTTTGTTATTAATAACGTTTACATTTCTGCGTTTGTTAAATCGCACGTGGGATCATGAAGGGCTGAAAAGAAATATATAGCTCGGATAATTTCTCCAAAGGAAGAGCTAATACACGCGTTACTGAATAAGCAAAGCCCCTCTTTGTAATTTACTTTTTAGTAAGCAGCCTTTATACCGGTACGATCTCCTCTTTTGTAATTTTCATAAAGGAGCCGGTTTAAAGAAGATGCGTTTTAATGCGTCTTGCGAGATATTAGCCTCAAAAAAAAAAAAAAAAAGAAACAATGAGAATTAAATCACGAGTAATTGACGCCTTTGAGAATCGGCCCCCTTGTTTTCGACCCGGTTTCCATTTGCATTTAAAGGACGCGGC